TTGGGAGGGTGGAGGGCAGCCTAAAATTAGCACCCTGGACCTCGTCATCCCAGGGGCTAACACCTAGCCTCTAGGCAGTGTTAACAGTGGGAACTGAGAGTCTCTCCTGACCCAGCTTTGGGGCAATAGGGGCTTCCCAAGGAGAAACCACCAAGGTCCAGTGCTTCGAATAGAGGCAAGAGCAGTGGTAACTGTGGGCAGTGCAGTTTCAGGCAGAAGCCCGGTGAGTACCTGGAACATAGAGTCCCACAACACTTCCATGGATTAGTGAACCTGCAGGCTCATGGGTTGTTCCTATTGGGTCTAGTTTCTGGGGGCACTTGGGACTTCTATAGGGAACCTTGCCTACAGAGGGAACCAGGGATACAATGATGGCTACCTGCTATGCTGCCTAAGTTTCGGGGTCCAAATAGATCTACTTCTTAGATAAATTTCCCTTATACAATTCAGGAAGTTTTTCTATTTGTCTTTATGTCCTTGTGTGGTATTTGTGAGTCTGTGTGGAAGTGCAGCAGGGTGGTCTCAGGGCAGAAGGCAGACAGAGCTCCTCAGGATGTGGGGAGGAAAGTGAGTCTTAAAAATAATCTAATAGTGCCTGGGGGATTCCTCTAGGGCCCACAGAAACTAGCCATTCTCTTTTATGACCTCTTGAACTGGATTAATATACTTTCAAGAGGGCCTTAGAATTCAAACGATCCCAAACATAGATGGGACAGACAATTACCTTTTATCCCCCTAGTCTCTAACTAGAAATTTACCATTTCTTCAAGGATGATTATAGGCAGCAAATGGCAATATTATTACTAATTCATGTAACTTGGTCATGAGAAGAAATCACAGACATTTCATATTACAGTTATGACAGATTTCTGGATTTGCCGTGTATGCTTATCACTAATATAGAAATTATTAGCTCTTATTATTTAATGTGTTTATAAGGAACATTTATTACTATATCATGTAATTTTTGAAATATTTTAATAGTTGTATTTCAATATAATTTGTTTTCTTTAATCCTACATATTGTGTTTTATATATTAAAATTCATTCTGAAATGGGACTAGAGATTTAACCAGATTGCCACAGGGGCCAATAACACACACACACACACACACACACACACACACACAACACACATACACACACACAAAGATTTGAACTCCCCATCAGTTTGGGGATTGGGAAAGAAATCCTTGTACAGAATGGTCACATAATAATTATTGATTAATAAAGCACAACAAGGTGAGGTTAAACAAGTCAGAGTAGTTAGATTTTGTTATCCCCTCTATAAAGACACAATCTACTCAAGTGCTCAAGCTAGCTGGGGGTCATGGCTTGATTTCCCTCTGGAGGCTCATTAGACCCTGCTGTGAGCTCATGATATGACCTTGGTGAGAGCTTCAAATTTTCCTCCATACTCCCTGCTTTCTCCATCTTCCTGAACACAACTCCTGCCCCATCCCCAGAATATTAAGAAGGGCACCTTTGCTGTCTGTCAGAAAAAAAAATGATTTGTAAAGAAACATTCCATGAATCAAGTCCCTGGAATTCAGCATAGCCCTCAAAGCTGAGGATTATGGGAGCTGCAATATGAATCTGCTCGTGGCAAGGGAGAGAGTCATGTGTTCACCTTTACAAGTTGCAATAGAAAAACATGATGAGGAGTAGAGAAGCCTGTATTCTATTTCTGTCTCTGGTATTGCCTTGTTGTAAGGCACCTGGAAAACCCCTTATCCTCTCAGGTCTCAGTTTCCTCCACCCACAAAATAGGGATAATACAGTATTACCTCTTCCACTGTGGTGAAATAGGTTTGAAAATCACAAGATTATAGGTTTATTCTGGATATATTGTTAATGAAACAACGGACAGAATCAGCCATATGATCTTGGGAAAAAGTCTCTGCTCTCCTAGGAGACCTGATTTTCTCATCTCTAGATTTAACAATTTTAATTAAATGATTTATTAGGTGCATTACAGCTCTGAAATTATGAAACTTCAGGTAGGGACCAATAGTCATAGAAGACTTAAGTGATAACATCATCACAGTAAAAATATTGAGTACTATATTCAAGTGCTATTCTAAACACTTAATATATATTAACTCATTTATTCCTAACAATAACCCTCTAAGACTGGTACTACTATCATTCATTTTATGCATATTAAGTAATGGGCACAGGGAGATTAAGGCCTGAGGTCACACAGCTACTAAGTGGTGGATCTGGGATTAAAGCAGAATGTCAGGCCATGTTTTACCACCACTTTATAATGCCTTTCAATTGGCAATGGGAGCAAAAAAGACCCATCTAGAAGACGTTATAATGCAGTGTGATGACTTCTATAGTGCTATAAAAGCATAGACTCTGAAGGAACTAATCCATCAGAAAAAAAAATGCATGTGACAGAAGAAAACATGATATTTATGGAGAGCCATCATTTCGAAAGTAAGGCTGGAGATGTGGGTCAAAATTTTCCCATGAGGGACCTCTGAGCCAAGCTAAAGCATCTGGGCTGATAAGATGAGTATTTTTAAGGAATCATTTTAACCACAATGTGGAGAAAATATTGAAATGTGAAACTAGCTAGGAGACTACTATAATAACTGAGGCAAAAGATGATAAAGGCCTAAACAAATTACTGGCAATGAGGATGGGCCTGACAGCAGCAATCTATAGATGTCTCTAGGAAGTTAAATCCACAGGAATTGGATGGGAGTGGGACAATGAGATAAAAGGACTGAAATGAGTCTTGGGTTTTTGATTTGGTTGACCAGGTGGATGTAAGGAACTGAGATATAGACCAAGTTTTGTGGTAGCAGTGGTGGTAGTTGTGGTATGATACTTCTGACTTTGAAGGGCCTGAAGAAACTCAGTGACTAAATATTTTTTGCCAAAGAGAGAGCTTGGAGTGATAGACTTGAAACCATCAGAATAAATGTGAGAGCTACAACTATGAGGCTGCAAAGAAGAGGATTAAGGAGATAAATAAGGAAACATAACTATCAGAGGAGAAAAAAAGGGGAGAAAAATCAGGAAAATGTGCTGACCAGGAAGCCAAGAGAGGACTATTTAGGCGGAAGTGCTCAGTGAGCAAAAATGTCCCAGAAGTCTGAGAAGGAAAGATTTGAGAAGTAGTCAGTAGATTTAATCACAAGGATGACTTTAAACAAACAAATAAATAAACAAACAAACAATCTCAGTATGTGATTGAGGGTAGTGGTGTCAGATTAAAGATTGTAGAGAACAGAACAAGAGATGGGAAAGTAGACAGTAGACAACTCTTTGGATATGTGGATGAAAAATAAAAAGATGAATGGAAAAGTATCTAGTTGGAACAAATGACCATATAAGTGTTTTGTTTTGTTTCTTAAAATGGTTGAGAGGGAGGAGCCATTGAGGAGTTTGAAGGTGCAAGGAGAGGAAGTTCATCTTCAAAGACCTAACATATTGTAGCTCTCCTCATCTTAACAGACTCATGAGGCCAGAGACTATCATTTCAATCTTGTAGATAAGTACCAAAGAAGGGAAGAGTCCTGCCCAAGGTTAATCAGCTAGGAAATGGGGGTGCTAAGTTGCCAGTTTAGGTCTGCCTGGTTTCTAAAATTCTCTTCGTTTAATTTCACCCTGAAATAAGTAAATAATAAAACCATATATGAATTTGATGCTTGTGAGTAAGCAAAGTTATAAAGTTGAGGGAAACCCCACCCACCTGGGAGACCCCACCAACCCACCTAAATGTTTGTGAGGTGTGTACTTGAAGTCTCAGGGGGGAAAAGTGGGGTGGAATTGGATAGTAGATAAAAGGAAGTGTGTGGCCCTGAGACCATGGCTACATGTTATAGGAGAGTAGGGAGACTCAGATTCTGAAAAACCTATTATGTTATGCTGATGAAATTACAAATGGAGTTGGGTGACTTTGATTTTGGAGCACTAGAAACATTGTTGTTAAGGTTAAAGAGTTAGTTTGAGTCAGTTATTGTGCCATGGGTGATTTCATAGGGTCTGGAGATAATCTAGAGAGATGAGTTGAGGGTTGAGGCAGGGCTCTAGGCTAGGTGGGGCACAGAGTATGGGAAAGGGCTTGACACAGAGGGATGGAGAAGTCATGGGCTTCAAGAAGGTGCTGACAATTAAAGGGACTCCTGAATTGAAGTGGTCCTGGGGTAGAATTCAGTTGTCATTAGAGAAGAGGACTTGCTCTGGAAACTTCAACTATTTCCTGCCATCCTTTTGACTTAATTTTACTTGACGTGTATTCTTTGTAATGTCACCTCTTTATTTAATCATTAAATGCCACTCTACATCTGTTTCCTAAGTAACTTTGTTGTCTGAAACATGGGGCATAAGTCTGAGGGACTTTGAAGAGGTTGACCTTTATCTACAAGGCTAAGGGATAGAATTGATATAAGAATGCTCAGGGATGAGAGCGTAACATCACAAAGCACCATTCTGTTGGCCTAGCAACTGTCAGACCAAGGCCACATCATTAGTTCCCACATTTTAAACTAAGGAGGATGCATCTACCAAATTCCCAGCCATGATGTACCTTCTACTAGAAATGGAGGAATACAAGATGAATACAGGGGTCCTCAACCTGGAGTTTACACAGTAATGAAGCACAGATAAGTGGAAATGTGGTAAGAACGTTCATAGTTGAAGTCTACTTATGATCCTTTGGAAAACCTGAGCAGAGGAGCTGATTAGGAAGGGCTTCCCAGAAGTAGGAATTTGAAAGTCAGGCAAAACAGCAAAGGCAAAGACACCAAGCTTGAAAATATCTGATCTGTTTTGGTAGCCATCTCCGTGCCCTAAAATAGGGTGGAGTAGGTGTTATAAGCAGGGGACCCATAAAGTGAAGAGCCTGATGTTGAAGGGGGGGGGGCAAGGGCTGGTATCCAGGCTTTTGATGGGGATTGTCAGTCTCTTTCCCATTTTTGGCACCCACAGATCTGGCATATTCTCCTCCTCATAATGAGAGTGGTTCTGCTCAATAAGCCAACATGAACTTCATGGACATCAGCAAAATCTTCTCCCTCTTGCAGCCTGACAAGGGGGAAGAGGACACAAACACATGGGAGAAGCAGGCTCTGCGTGAAGCAGTACACAAAAATGACTCCTATACCTTGGACCAGCTTTTGCGCCAAGAGTGTTACAAACGTTTCATCAACAGTAGGAGTGGCTGGGGTATTCCTGGGACACCCCTGCGCTTGGCTGCTGCTTATGGCCACCTTAGTTGTTTGCAGGTACTCCTGGCCCATGGTGCTGACGTTGATAGCTTGGACATCAAGGCACAGACACCACTTTTTACCGCTGTCAGCCATGGCCATCTAGATTGCGTACATGAGCTTTTGGAAGCTGGTGCCTGTCCTAGTGGAAGTGTTTACAACAACTGCTCTCCCATACTCACAGCCGCACGTGATGGTGCTGTTGCCATCTTGCAGGAACTCCTAGGCCATGGTGCAGATCCAAATGTCAAGGTTAAACTACCAGTCTGGGTGTCAAACATAACTTCATTTTCTGGTCCCCTTTTTTTGGCTGCAGTCTATGGGCACCTAGACTGTTTCCGCCTGCTTTTGCTCTATGGGGCAGATCCTGACTACAACTGTACCGACAAGTACCTATTAGCTCGTGTCCCACAGCCACGTACCCTCCTTGAAATCTGCCTCCACCATAATTGTGATCCCGAGTACATTCAACTGTTAATTGATTTTGGTGCTAACATCTACCTTCCATCTGTCCCCCTGGACCTGGGCTGGAAAAATAATAAAGGCACCGTATTACTGCTACAGGCCCGAGGTGAGTGTCAAGCAGGCCAGTTCTATAGGCATTCTGGTGTGAAGGTCTCAGGCCCCAAATTATCTCCAAACCAATCCTTCTAAAATATTGCAGAAAACATCATCTTCCTCCTCTACTGGAGCCCCAGTGGAGAAGAGGTTATATATTCCTTATTAGGGACAAGATCACCAAGACAAGGTAGAAAGATAGCAGTAGCCTGATATCTTGTTCTGGCACTGCCCTCTATGGTCCTCAGTGGGTCCCTATTGCTACTGTACATTGAAAGGAGGGTGGGGGACATTTCTTAAAAAGAAGAGAGCATTTAGGGCTATAGGAGCAAGGGCAGTGTGAATGTAGCCTTTGGTGGGAGAATTGCCCTGAGTATTGTTTCTCATGACCTGTTTCTCCTTCCTGCAGCCACTCCACGAACACTACTATCACAGGCCCGTTTAGTTATCCGCAGAGCTTTGCGCCAGGCCAACAAGCCACAAGCCATTGACCAGCTGGATATTCCTCCTGTGTTGATTAGCTACCTCAAACACCAATTGTAATCTTGCAACCTATCCAGAAACCCATGATGCCCCAAAACATACTGAGGACCCAGATAACTGAAGGGCACTACAGCTCCTCCCACTCACTTACAGCTGCTTTCCTGTATCATCCTCCACAATAAAATAAATTACAAAATAAATTCTGGTGTCTGTTGTGTGTGTGTGTGGGGGGGTTGTTTATTGGGGGTGAGTGGTATGGTTGGCCATGAGGAAGGATGGTAAAAGTCTGGCATTTGACAGGCATGAGTTCTGACCACTGTAAGATAAAAAGTGAAAAATAACTCAATAGCCCACACTCGCCCACCAAAATTCGTGAGAGAATTTGGAGTCGTGTTGTTCTAAAAGCAAGGTACTGAAGAATTAAACTAGGTGGAAGGGTAGCATTAGCTTGCTCAGCCCTGTATCTGCCTCCATTTCTCTGGCTGCTGCAAGGCACCTTTTAAGGAGCTGTCACCCAATTCCCTATTATTTTGAGTCAAGTGACCAAGGAGACCCACATTCACTCACCTTAAATCATCGGCTGCATTCCCACTAGTCCAATTTATAATCAAGATCAAACTGGGAAAATAAATTACCAAGTATTTAAGATAGAATTTAATGCAGAAAAGAAATTGGTTACATAGCTGATAGGCAGCGAATCCAAGCAGGACGGGAAGGTAACCCATCCTGCTTGGATATTAGTGGCGTCAGGAGCCCAAAACCACCCCTAGGCTGGATGGGTGAGGGGGAAAGTATGTCCAGAGTCAAGGGACAGGGATCACCTGATGGAAAGTGGAATCAAAGGTTTGACCCCAGGTGCTAGAATCATAGAAGAGAGATGCTTCCTAAACCATAGGAAAGGAAGAAATCCCTTCTCATTTACCTCATTCGTTCCCTTTAATCTGCCTCCAGTGTCTCTCTCATTGGGGGAAAACTGTATGTCAACTAATATGAGAACCTGGGAAACAGCCTACAGGGTTGAGCCCCCTTGAAATATAAGGCAGATAAGGGGAAGATGAACAGTGGAGGAACAGTGGGAGGAGATGGTGTGAGGGTCAGGACCTGGGATCACACAGCAGAATTGGAAGATAATGATAGTCAGAGCCATAGAATATACACAGCAGACACCACCAGAAGCAAAAAGTCAGAGGCTAAATACCCTGGCTTCTCCATTTTTCCTACCCTCCCACCAGTGTTTCTCATTGGTTGAACCCAGCCAGAAGATGATTGAATCTGGAATTCACAGTCAGTCTCCATGATATGGAGAAAAGGAGGGAAAAGAGGAAAACATGACCAACATAGATAACTATGCAAATTCAGATATAAGCACCTTCATTTTGCTCTTTATCCTTCTACAGTACCTTCTTATATTTCTCCTACATGATACCTGCTTGGGGATGTGAATGTGCAGTGAGAGACACAAGATGAAGGAATGAAGGAGCAGAGCCCAGACAATCTGTACTTTGGAAAACACTAAATGTTCAGAGCTTTTCATGGGAGCTGCCTTGACAGCCCCCTTCCCCACATACACACATCCTTATCGTTGGGGAAAGGAGGCAGGGAATGGGGGCTTGAACTGACTTACTTATCCTACCTCTTACCTCCTCTACTCTCCCTGGCTCCTAGTGCCTGAGAAACTTTAGGAAGGAAGGCAAGAAAACTGAACATCTATCTCAATGGTTTTGTCACACTCAGCTTCCACACTTTCATTCTTATGCATTTTGGATAGCAGTGCAATTGTTTATCTCTAAGAAGCAAGATAACTGGAGGACAAGGCTGTAAGCATAGACAAAGGGCTTCAGAGCAGACATCCCCATCTGTCTTCTTGCAGGTGAGTTCTCCTGGCTTTGTCCTTCCCATTTAAAGTCCTTGGGGATTAGGAGTCAACCTCACCAACCCCATCTGCTCTAGGCTCCTGTGAAAGTGTACCTTTCAGCCGAAACTGGTTTGGCTCAATGGATAGAGCATCGGCTTCGGGACTGAAAGGTCCCGGGTTCGATTCCGGTCAAGGGCATGTACCTTGGTTGCGGGCATATCCCCAGTAGGGGGTGTGCAAGAGGCAGCTAATCGATGACTCTCTCTCATCGATGTTTCTAACTCTATCTCTCTCCCTTCCTCTCTGTACAAAATCAATAAAATATATTTTAAAAAGAAAAGAAAGTGTACCTTTCAAATGGGCCTGGCCAGGGTGGCTTCCCTTGTGGTATCTGGTATTCTCTAAGTTAAGCCAATGTTATTAGCTATTATATTTCCAGTTGCCTGTCCTGCTGGTGGGCATAGACAACTTCAAAGCCTGGTGTCTTAATCCCTTCCACTCCCCTGGTCTAACCATTCCCATCCAGATAAGAGGCCAGGGGTTTGAAAAGATCATCTCAAATTCTAATGATGACTCCTCTGAGACAATCTTCCTTAGGAGGTGTGAGGAGGAGTCAGAGGTGATGTCACTCTTCCTGGAGTAAAATATCTCCCTTGGCCTTTACTCTCTTGGTAGCAATGGTCCCAGATGATAACTTAGTTTCTCCCCACAACTCTTACCATATCCACCAGCTTCTGAAAAAGACAAATCTTGACCCTTTCAGGTGAGCTAGGCCCCTTATCTCCCTTCTTCTCTCCATCTCTCCCTGTCCCCTCTTGACTTCTCTATCCTTGATTCCTTCCTTTTCCCCCTCCTTCGTTTCTTCCCTTTCTCCCTCCCTTCCTTCCTGGCATTGCCATGAGCCTGAGGCTGGTTCAGCTCGTCACATGCCACCGATCAGTTTGTATTCTCTCTTGCAATGGCAAAATTATTCTCATTTGTTCAGAAAGGGAACCCCCAAAGATTAGATCCAAAGTGCAAAATAGTCTATTGGACTTCAGAAACCAGAGAAATCCCCTTCATCTGCTATCTTGAGGGAAAGTAAGATAGAAGAGGTGGTATTAGACCTGGCACTGAATTGTGGAAAGGGTTTTAATCAGTACAGAATAAAGAAAAGGTATTAGTGGAGAGAACTCAGTGAGCAAAGACATAGAAATGGGGAAAAGCAGGGCAGTTGGAAAACCAGTTAAAGCTGGTGAGAGTTCAATTTATTTGAACAATAACTAGGCCATGGACTAGACTGGAGAAAGCTCTAAATATCCTACTCTTTTGGACTTGAAGAGTTCTTGCAGTGTGGTATGCATAGTCATAGGAAATTGCTTGCTGAATGCACAGAAAATACACTCTCTGATTTCCCAGGGCAGATATGGCAGCATTACATTTTTTAAAAATCTACACTAATAAAAGGGAAACATGTAAATTGACCATCCCTCCACTACACCCACCAGCCAATCAGAAGTGAATATGCAAATTAATCCAACAAAGATGGTGGTGGCCATGGAGCTGGAGCAAGCAGGAGGCTTGGGTTTGCCCTTGGTGATGGAGGAAGCCAAGCTTCCCACCCACCCTGGCCTCCACTCAAAAAGGTGCTGGAGGGGAAAAAAAGGAGGGACTTGGAGCCTGGGTTTCCAGGGGGCCTGGCCACCCTGCACACAGCCACCAGCCCCTTACCCAGGCTGTCCAGGCAACCCAGTGGGATCCCCACCCTTAAGGGGGTATGGCCAGCTTGAAAACAGCCCTCAACTCCTCACCCAGGCTGGCCACGCCCCCCCAAGCGGGAACCCTCATCCCATGGGGTGTGGCCAGCCTGCAAAATATCACAGGCTCCTCTCCCAGGCTGTCCCATGCCCCAAGGGAACCCCCACCCTGATCTGGGACACCTTTCAGAGAAAACCAGCTGGCACCCACTCATGCACCAGGTCTCTATCTATAATAATAAATGGGGTAATATGCTAATTAGACTGGGAGACCTTCCGGACATTCTTTTGGACAAAGCCATGGTGGCGGGGCAGAGGTAGAGGCAGTTAGAATCCAAGAGGGGAAGGCAGTTGTGGATGATCAGGCTGGCAGGGGGTAGCAGTTGGGGGTGAGCAGACCAGCAAGAAGGCCAGTTGGGGGTGAGCAGGCCATCAATGGGGGTCAGTTGGAGGTAATCAGGACAGCTGGGGGGGCAGTTTTGAGTGAGCAGGCCAGCAGGGGGGCAGTTGGAGGCGAGAAGGCCAGTGGGGATGGGAGGTGGGGGAAAGCAGACCAGCAGGGGTGGTAGTTGAGGGCAAGCAGGCCGGCAGGGGGGGCAGTTGGGGGTGATCAGTATGGCAGGGGGTTCATTTGGGGGCGAGCAGGCCAGCGGGGGTGGGGGGGACAGTTGGGGGCAGCAGGCTGGCAGGCAGGTGAGTGGTTAGGAGCCAGCAGTCCCAGATTGCAAGAGGGATGTCTGACTGCCAGTTTAGGCCCGTTCCCTGTAAACCGGCAGTGGGACATTCTTCGAGGGGTCCCAGATTGGAGAGGGTGCAGGCCAGGCTGAGGGACACCCTACTCTTCCCCCCACCCCCCGTGAGTGAATTTCATGCATCTGGCCACTAGTGAGATATAATTGGCATATAACATTATATTAGTACAACATAATGATTCTATATTTATATATATTGTTAAATGATCATAATAAGTCTTGTCAACATATGGCACCATACATAAAAAAATTTTTGTGTGATCAGAACTTTTAAGATCTTTATTCTTTGCAAGTTTTAAATACACAATACAGTACTCTTAACTGTAGTCACCATGTTGTAAATTATATTCCTATGACTCATTTATTTTATATGTGTTAGTTTGTACCTTTTGACCCTCTTCATTCATTTTACCCACTCCCCACCCTGCCTTTAGCAATCACCAATCTGTTCTCTGTACATATAAAATCATTTAATAAAATTTTAAATTTCATATATAATTGAGATTATATGTTATTTGTCTTTCTCTGACTTATTTCATTTACCATAATGCCCTTAAGGTCCATGTTGTTGAAATGGCAAGATTTCATTTTTTTATGGCTGAATAATATTGAATTGTACATATACACCACATCATTTTCTTTATTCATTCATCCATGGATGGACATTTAGATTGCTTCCATGTCTTGGTTATTATAAATAATGCTTCAATGAACATG